CTGTGTTGGCACAAAGAAAAGCTAAGGACAAAACAATACAGTGAAAGAAGATGAAGGTTTCCTAAGTATACTCTAGGTGAAAGGTGCTGTGGTTGACAAGTTCTCTATTTTTTTAATGTCTATAATAACATTGTGAGGTGGAATTTTCTTCTCAATTTTAAAGCTGAAGAATCTAAGTCTCAGAGAGACACTCAGACTGTAAGTGGTGATCTGACATTTGAACGGGTTTGTTTTTGTTTTTTTTTTTGTTTTTTTTTCTGATTCCACACCCATGCTCTTTGACATACATTGCGTTGACTGCAGATGGCCTGTCCATTTCAGTGTTAGGTTATTTACTTGACTGTCACTGAATAATGCTGAAAGGGTTTGAGAAATTTAAATGTTCTTACATCAGATGTTCTATCTCCTGAACCAAGCATTTCATTTTATTTTTAGTCTACTAGAACTCAGTAAACTTAATATATCCTTCCATTATTATTGAAGGCTCCCAAAAACAACTTCAGCGTTTTGTATCTGTTTAAAATGTTTGCTTGTCCACATGTCAAATAACAATCTAATCAAGATGATACAGTACACAGTTAACCAAATAATTAGAATAGTCATAAAACATTAAATAAAGGTACTAATACATGAATGTGTTGGTCTGAAAATATGGAGAGTATTTGGCTAATATTTGGAAAACATAAATTGTATATTGGTATCACCTCAAATTTTACCTATTCAAAAGAGATATTCTAATAATTCATAAAATGAAAATCCAAATATTTAAGGTGAAATTTGATAAGAAAAATGTACATATTTATGTAGTAAATTTGTATTCAGGTTATCATCATTATAAATAGAATATGAATAGTAGAATAGATATGAATCTAGGTATTTCTCAAAGATTCCTTCATATCTACAATATCACATATAGATGAGATTGTATAATATTATTCAGATGAGGTAGTTCTATAAATTCCAGAAAGGAGAAAATAATGGTTTTGTTGTTGTTGTTGTTGTTGTTGTTTGGTTTTGGGGTTTTGGGGGGTTTTTTTTTGCCCCATACAATGACATTTAGATTTTGGTCAGACAGGTAACTAAATAAGTAGAAGCTTGTAGACTTAAAGTTGTAAATATATTAGATGTTGATTTGAATTTAGAATAGGGATATTTGGTTAAGAAGATCTTATAAAAATAAACAAACAAAACAGCAGAACACCATAATGGGAGTGATTAATAAAGCCACAGCCACGTGCAAGTGACCTTAAAGGAAGTAATGAATTCTCTCCAGCTCTGCAGTCCTCTGGTTCAGTACTGTCATTCTCAATGGCCTCAAGAAGGTTACATGCCTGATGGACACATTGATGGAAATATGGTCTCTCCCCTGACCAGAAAAGGATTACCCAGCCTAACACAGCACCTAGGGATTGCCAAGACAAGTTCCTTACTCCCTTTTAGATTGTGCAGCATATCTCTAGCCTAGGGACCTGCCTCTTCTCCACTCTGTCCACCTCACTGACAATGAACCAGGGAAATGTGAGTAGCAGCAGCAGCCGGAAAAATATGTTTATGTTTCTTGTCTTCGGGCACAACCAAAATGAAAGTCTCTAAGTAAGATCTATAGTAATAACTATAGTCCAAGCAACAGCTTTTGGTGACCATCAAGCTAATTAATAAGAATGTGTAAGGTGGAAGTTAATTTATATCTTTGATAAGTGGCATCCAACCATTAATCCTTATATATGACAGTCTCAAGTTAAACAAACATCCCTTTTCACAAAGATAGAGTTTACAGGCAACAAATGTAATAAAAAAAAAGTCATATTATTCTAGGGTCAACACTGCAAAAAGATTTCAGGAAAAACAAAAATTTTACGTATATATTAAATATATATATGAATTTATAATCTCAAAATTATTTGTTACAACCTGCATACTTCCTACCTTACAAGTAGTACTTGTTATTTATCTTGTTGAAAGTGTTTAAAAATAAAATTTTGCTTAGAAGGAAAAATTGACCGTGATTATTATTGTCCCTGTTATGGTTTACCACTATGCAAAGTTGGTATCAGACCAAATGGCAATACAGAAGAAAGTTTACTCCCAGCATCTTGCTAACCTCCAAGCTCTTTAATACTCACATGTTTTCATCTAGGCACCTAGTATGCTCTTTTCATTCTCACCTCAACCTAAGGAGTATTTCTCATCATTCAATCACAAATTCACCTGTTCTCTGTCCCATTCCTTCCCTTCTCTCTAAGAGATGATAAGTGGATGAAAATTATTTAGATCAAGTAAGTGAAGAGGTTAACTAGATATCATGCTATTGGTTCTTGGTAACATATCTTTATTAAAAACAGACTGTTTCTTAAACTTTTGTGGCCATCAGAATCATAGGGGGATCCTTAAAATACATATTGATGGGCCCTACCACAAGAGTTTCTGGTCCATTAGGTCTCAGATAAAGCCCCAAAATTCGCATTTCTAACAATACCCAGGTGACGCTGATGCAGTTGGTTCTTTAAGAACGGTTCTTTATTTTATTTTATTTTTTATTTTCAAGAACCAAGTTAAAATTTTAATTCACTAGACAGTTAAGTAGTGAGATATTTGGCTACTCAGCAGGTTTTCTATTTCCCTTCATATTATATAAGACAGCCCTAAAATTAGGGCCAACCCTGGAGCCCTACACTTAATGTAACCCTAAAACTGTTTTAAATTTTTATCAACTTGCTTTGTATAACACATAAACAAACAAGATAGAAAAATTATCTTTCCAAAACACAAAACAATTATCTGAAGTGAATTGCAATGTTTGCTGGTTACTTTATTAGGTTACCTAGAACACTCAATTCTTTAAGATACAACTATAGAGCAAATTTCTTCCCCAATTCCTCTTTATATGAACAGTGAGGTATCTCCTACCCTTCCTCATATATTCTTACACACAAACAGAATCATGCTTATTGTGTGACTTTCAATTTTCAAAACTAGAGTTACACCACTGATTTCAATTACCTAGAGTAATATCAATGATGCTGGACTGATGTTCACATGTAATTCTCAGCCACTTAATAAATATATTAAGATATCTGGGCAATTTCCAAGTTGTCTAAATTTTCCACCATTTATTTTTACTTTTCTTTATATTCAAGAAGAAATTAATAACTCTTGAACAAACACATTTTTCGTTCTGAACAATCAACTCATTCTCTTAGCCACTTATTAGTTACTCACTTCTACTTACACACACACAAATATTATAAGACTTTCTGGCAGAATATGGAATAATGTTCTTGAAATAACAGCGTTGTATTTTGGTATGACACAAACTGTCACAATCATAAGCAATCATGGTGTGAGCTCACTCAATAAATAAGGTATGTTTAAATGTGGCATAATTTTGATTAAATAACTTAAAAAATATTGGAGTAGTACTAATGTTAAATGTAAAAATAAATAAGATAGCTCTTTAAGGATTGATTTTCTGGATGATAAGGTTGTTCAAATAGCACATATTATGAAATAATAACTCAAGTATTATAAAAAGTTTAAAAAGAAATGTATTCATTTTTTCTTTAAATAGAGGAAAATCATTTAATAAACCATAATTATTCCTATGCAAGTTTTAACTGGATTATATTATTTTTAGACTCTTAACTTCAATCATTCAATTTCTCTCTATCCATTCCATTTCTAAAATTCTTCTTCCTATCATTATTTCCATGCAAGTAGCAATTTAGTCAAAAACCCTACTCTTCAATAAGGAAACTATCTTTGAAAGGAAAGAACAAAAAAAGTAAAATGTTAATGAAGGAATCTATAAATTCTGAATAATTTGCATTTACCATTATGCCATCAGTTCTATAGCAATCATGTCCAAAATAAATAACATAATCAGTATTCCTTTCTTCATCCAAAATATCCAATTTTAGCTTACATGTCTGGCTAACTATGAAGCTATTTCTAACTTAAAATATTTTATATCCACTATGAATTAAAGAAACAAAAATTTTAGTAACCTGACAATATCAATGTTATTTTTACTTAGTATTTTGAGGCAATACCTCTAAAAATTGTAATTTTTTAATGTCAAGAAACATTACCACTGAGTGGACTCAAACACACATAAAATCACTATGTATTTTGATGCAAAATATAGATCATATTAATGTAGGTTAAATTAATAGTTTAAACTCCTTTATCCCACTGTGAGATAATTAATTACTAATTAGCACTACTTGACTACAGGCACACATAGCAAAACTCATGATTTGAAATCTTATACCAAACCTCCTACGATAGCCTGTGTGAGCTATGAACTATATGGACTGAAACGGTACCTGCAGGAATGCCAGGACCAGCTTACAAAACAAATTCCTACAAAGTGTTGTGTTTTCTTGTTTTTTGCAGCAAGGTAATAAGTTTAGGTTGTTAGCAATTCCTTTTCCCAATCTTAGGGGAAAAATCACTGATGATATTGAAACATTCTGAGAAAGAATTTCTGATGGCATTTAGTGAATTACTGAATAAAATAAATCAAAACTAAATTAGTAAATCAAGGTATGTTTTCCAAAAATAAGGGACTGTGCAAAAAACTAGATTAGTGGAACTAGACATAAAGACTTGTGTATTTACTGAGCTCTAACAAGGGTGAAGGTGGTGGTGTTATTTATTGCAGAAATTTGATGATGTGGTCCACTGTTCACCTGAGACCATTCTTAAACCTGCTTCCTATCTCAGTTTTCAGTCACTGAGCATTTCCTTAGAGTGTACTTCTGTTCAGCTGAGATACAGTATTACGGTATTTTTCAGACTGTACTTACAATATCTGTAAAGAAAAGCAAGGGCATCACAAGGCATTATTTCCCATAAAATGAATAAAGACTAGATATTTAAATGCTTTATAGTGTTCCTCAGTATAACACATACTACAGTAACCTTACACACATATGTGTATGTTTATTGCATTAAATTGATAATGAGAGCATATTTGCAATTTTGTATATTTTTCTTACCTGTCAAGTTCTTCAGTCCAAGTTCCTGAAGTCCAAAGTTCCCATCTTTTCTGTAGTTTAAAAATACTGCCAAGGCATATCGATCCTCATAAAGTTTTGTCCCACGGATAATGCGTAAATTCTCCAGAGGCAGGTAGCGAAACTGATTAAGAGCCACTAACACGTAGCCTGTGACTTCTCGAATAGACTGAAAAGAAACAAACAATTGCCTTTGTTAAAAAAATTAGAAATTATTTTTCAGTACACTAATTTCCACATTATATTGTAAATAATTACCTTGATAATACAAGAACACAAAAGGTTAGAATCTCATTTGAAGTATGAGCTGTACTCTTTAAAAAAGTCATGAATGTACTTATAGTAAAATAATGGATTTTGTTTTATAAAACATTCTTCATAGCTGGTATTTGAATATAATTAAAGGAATAAATATGTCATTCTTTGACAGATGAAAATGAGGTAAGAACACCTAGCCATCAATCAAAATTTTTATAAAACAAATTCATAAGCTTATCGCAAATAAAACAAAGCTGCATGAGTTTGTAGACTATGGAATGTATTTTAAACTGCTATATCGATGTTTAATGCTATCATTATCAGAGACAGTTAACTTGTACGTCTCTGGGAAACACAAATATAAACAGTATGTATTAAAGACTGATAATGATCTCTAATTTAATTACAAGCACAATTTTTTAGAAGATTTTGTTTATTTGAGAGCAGAGAAAGAGCGAGAGCATGAGTGGGGGAGGGGGAGGAGGTGGGAGAAGCAGACTCTCCTCTGAGCAGGGAGCCCGATGATGTAGAGCTCTGTCCCAGGTGCCCCTACAACCACAATTTTATTTTGACTATCTATTGTTTAATATAGTATAAGTTAATTACTTGAAAGTTTTAGTACATTTTAAAGCAAAAAAAGTCACAAAAAAAGCCCTTAGGTTTCATCTAAAGTTACAGTTTTTCAGTAAAATAAGCAAGATTGTGACAGCTATGAATATATGTATTAAGGTTTTAAAAAATTAAATGTAAAAAATAAAATTTATATATGTGTATATATATATACATATATATATATGATATATATATAATACAGAAGTGGTAAAATATTTGATGTTATTTTAATGTCAATTTCATGCCAGTATAGACCACCGATGTCCCAGTGCTCAGTCTTTGGTACTCTCTTTTCTATCCACTCTCATTTCCTTGGTGACCTTACCCAGTTTCAGGTTGATGATCTCCAAACTTTTACCTCCAACCTGTCCCCTAAACTCTAGACTCCTATCTAACTGCCTACCCCACATCTTCACCTGAATGCCTAATAGACTTTTCAGATATACCTATCCAAATCAGCTTCCTTGTCCCAACCTTTTAACAGCCATTCTCATCTCAAGTTGAGGTCAATCCATCCTTCCTATTATTTAGGCCAAAGTCTTGGGGTCATTCCTGACTCCCCTTTCATCATACACCAAATGTAATCTGTCCTATTTGTTCTACCTTTAAAATGATCAGGAATTCAACCACCTCTTATGGCAAACACTGCTATCATCTGAGCCATCATCATTCCTTTATCAAGATTACTGCAATAGGTCTCCCTGTTTCTACTTCTTTTGATCCTTTATCATGTATTTTCAGTTAAGGCAGGACCTGATCTTTTTTTTTTTTTTTTTAAGTAGGCTTCATGCCCAGCATGGAGCCCAGCTGAATGGATGACTCTGAGATGAAGACCTGAGCCGAGATTAAGAGTCAGATGCTTAACCGACTGAGGCACCCAGGGCCCCAAACCTGATTGTTTTTAAACATAAATCAAATCATGACACTTCAATTCTTAAAATCCTGAAACATCTCCCTAGTCACTCAAAGTAATAGACAAAATTCTTTCACTGATGAGTCAAAATCTATTGTTCTGCCCAATGCAGCAACAACTAACTAGCTGTAGCTACTGAACAATTGAAATGTAGCTGGTATGAATTGAGATAAAATACACTCTTGATTTCAAAGATTCCATGTTGAAATGATAACATTTTAGATAAATTGAGGTATATAAAATGGATTATTAAGGTTAATTTTTAACCTTTTTTTTACATTTTTATTATGGCTACATGGAAATTTAAAATAATATTTTTATGGCTATCACTATATTTCTGTTGCACAGTACGATACTATATGGTCTGGTCATCAGTTCTTTTTGTAACTTCTTTTTTTAACCCTCTTCCTTTCTCGCTCTATTCCAGTTTTTTTTTTTTTTAAGATTTTTTTTTTTTTTTTTGAGAGAGCGAGAATGAGAGAGAGAGAGAGAGTACATGAGAGCGGGGAGGGTTAGAGGGAGAAGCAGGCCCCTCGCCGAGCAGGGAGCCCGATGTGGGACTCGATCCCGGGACTCCAGGATCATGACCTGAGCCGAAGGCAGTTGCTTAACCAACTGAGCCACCCAGGCGCCCTCGCTCTATTCCAGTTTTGCTGGTTTCCTTGTTCTTCTAACATTCTAAGTGTGGTCCTACCTCGAGGTGTTTACTATACTCTTAAAGGCCTGAGTTTCTTTCCCTTTTGTTCTCCTTTTGGCTAATTTCCTCACTGCCTTCAAGTTTTTTCTCAAATCTCTCAAACCTCAGTTGAAGCCAATGCTGACTAACAGTCCTCCCACCTTTTCCTGTCTAACTTTTATTGTCTCTATAGTACTTCTCACCTTTAAATTTACTATATAGTATATATATTTATTATATTTAGTATTTATAGTCTGTCTCTCCCTTTCTCAGAATATAAGCTCTGCAAGGGCAAGCACTTTAATTTGTTCATTCATGTCTCATGTAACTACAACAGTACAGGCACATAGTGAAAAACCAATAAATATTTGCTGAGCACTCTGGCTTTTCTCTGGCCATATCTTCACCAATAGGCAAAGTCTACAGAGTCAAGAAAAATACCCATCTGGAACCTGCATTCCTTTTCTCTAGAGAAGACCAATGCTCCAGATCCCTGTGATCCCAGAATTTCATTCCCAAATTGCCCCAATCCCTCATCTAGAGCCTGTGATATCATCTTTCCAGTTCTGTCCCCCAGTCAGCAGACTATGCGACCAACATGCATACACCTAGCAAGGATGGGTGGTCCAGGTGCAGATGTTTGAGTGGAGAGTGTATGGATGGCTAGATGTACAGCCTAAGTGTCACTTTGCTCAAAGCTTCCTATGATACTAGACAGAACTGGTTAAAGGAGGGGCTGAAGGCTGGAGTCCATCCCTCTCCATGCCACCATACTACTGAGGAGTTCAAAAATTCTAACATTTCACCCAGCCATCCAAGTTGTTATAAAGATATTTCTGTCAAAGTGGGAGGATAGATCATATTTTAATAATAATTATTATATTTATAATAAAGAATAATGACACAAAATATGTAGACCTTCATTTATACTCTCATCCCAGGTCCCACAATTCTTAGAAATGAACCTGCTAACACTAATCACCTAGAAAAATAGAATCCTAATGGAGCAAAGAGTCCATTAAATGGATGAAAGGTCCAAAATGGATAAAGGGTCAAGGAACCTATGAAACCATTCATGTCTGGCACTGGATTGGGAACTCTAAGCCACTATAGGCATTCCTGGGATACTGAGAATTGTGGATTAAAGAGATGAATTCTTAGGGGGATAGAAAAAAGAGGTGAAAGGTCAACAGTAGCAAGCATTGTTTGTATACCACATGTGTTTGAAATTGCACTTGCCTGCAATAGTCTATCCCTAGAGCCCTAAAAATCCTCCTTCAATCACTGTTTCAATGGTTGAATTCTAATCCCTTTGTGTCCTTAGAAGAGAGATCAAAAACATTTTCCAATATCATTTGGTCTAACAAGTAAAATTTTTTCATTCATTATAAAGGTAATTTATCGTTTAACTTGTATACAATAATTACCAAGTGCTCTAAAGTACAATGATATACAAAGATAAACATTGGGGATGGAGGATGTATTATCAATCTTTTGTCTAGAGCATGTCATAGTATCCATTCTTCCTAACACACTCACCATTAGTTCCATTTTCACTTGGGAACTGACTCTAATTAGACTCTTAGAATAATGGTAAGAAATGTGGGCTCAACTGCCAAGCAAAGCTGAGCTCAAAACGCTTCACACTTACCAGCCTTCAGACTTACTGGCTTTGTAGTCTTGTTAAAATTGTTTACCCTCACTGAGGCTCAGTTTCTTTATTTTAAAATAAAAGATAGCAATAACTCTATTAAAAAGATTTTATAAGACACTTATAAAAAGTATCTAGGGAGACCCGGGTGGCTCAGTCAGTTAAGCCTTCAACTCTTGATTTCGGCTCAGGTCATGATCTCAGGCTCATTGAGTCCCTGCATCAGGCTCCATGTTCAGTGTGAACTTGTCTCTCTCCCTCTGCCCCTTCCCCTGCTCTCTCTCTCTTTCTCTCTCAAATAAATAAAATCTTAAAAAAAAACCCAAAAAGCTAAAGAAAAGCGTCTGGCAAATAGTAAGTGTTCAATAGATGCTATCTATTACAAATATTATTATTTCTGATAACAGCCAAAACTATCTGTAAACAATCTGATTTGAAAATAAAAATAATTATAACTTTATTACAGAAGAACCATTGGCTTTAATCTTTGTTATGTAACCTTTATAACTTTTTTTTAAGATTTTATTCATTTTATTTATTTGAGACAGAGAGAGAGAGAACATGAGCAGGGGGGAGAGAGGCAGAGGGAGAGGGAGAGTGAGACGCAGACTCCCCGCGGAGCAGAGAGCCCAACCTGGGGCTTGATCCCAGGACCCGGGGATCAGGACCTGAGCCAAAGGCAGACACTTAACTGACTGAGCCAACCAGGCGCCCCCCCCTTATATCTTTTTTTATATCTTGCCTCTTCAACTTGTAATTTATTCCTGAATTACAGAACTGGTTCCTTATACTGTTTCTGTGTATGTTATAGCCTTTAGTACAGACTCTGGCACTGAACAGACATTCAATAATGGCTGTTGAATGAAGTAGAATTGAAAAGTAGAAAACAATGCCTATGGTCTTTTTAGATATTGTTTTCCATTGAAAATGATTTTATGAACTTTCTGCTAATAAAAACATTGTTTGAACAACATAATCATGACTTGTGCCCAAGGACCACAGTGGTAAGTAGAAATCATCAGAATGCCCCAACAAAAAGAAAACCCTGACTCTGGTTCT